GGAATGAGCTGACAGTGGTCTTTTTCTGATAATCCAGTCCAGCACATGCTGCTGTGCCTTGTCTATAGTACAAGTTTGGCTAGTTCAGAGCAAGGGGCTCCTTAATTCCTTTCAGGGAAGACCAGTGGCAAAAGAGGTCAGAGCATCACACTGACTTGTAATTAGCAGGAGCCTGGTGATTCCAGTGACCATCTGCTAGGACCTGCAGCTGCTTTTGAAAAGCGTCTTCTGATGAGTTTCAGGTCCTTCTCAGAATATCAATGAACAGGCAAGGCAGGGGTGAACCATTAGTCAAGCACTGCGCGTTCACTTTCCACAGGGTCGCCTCTTTACAGAAACTGAACAGAGCCTTGGCCTCTCTCTGAGGGGTGTGCTAAGGGATGAGTCCAGGTGTTTATTGGTCCAGGCGCTTATTGTAAGAATGGCAGATGGGAACGTTAAAACCTAGTGGCCTTAGACTGGGAGAAAGCCAGTCTACTGTGGAGGACAAGATCCAGCACATCAGGGAGGACATACCCAGTAAGAGCACTGTTCCTTGTTCTCCTCCAGTTTTCCACAATGCTGATCACGTTTCTCTCCTGAAGGGAGGATGTCTCTAATCTGAAATCACAAGGTGTTTGCCTGCTCATGCTGAGAGGCAGCTTTTCATGAAATGGCGCAGCACCTCTGTGTGTGCTGTTAGCGCCGAGTGGTTGTCTCCTGAGAGCTTTGCTTTACTGAATATAAAGAGATCTGTGAACAGAGCCTTTTCACACTCTCATCTCATCTCTGAGCTGGAATGAGTAGGTTTTTTAAAAAAAGCTAGGATGCAGGGAATGACAGTTTTTTCTATGCTTTTTTTAGATTGCTCTGCTGTACTAAGACTTCAGGTGACAACTATATTAGTTTATGCTTTATGGACATTAATTGAACACAACTGTGTCTGAAGGTTCAAAAGCAAGTAGCTGGCTAAGCAGTGAGGAGAGCCATCAAGAACAATGATAAAAATAACAAAGAAATGCACGTTTATATTGTTCATAATTGAGTAAGGGCTCACCGTGAAATGGAGATGAATTGATATATCAACCCATTGCTCCTTGTGCAATGAAGCTGTCAGTATCTATTGAGTTCTGTCACCTCTGAGCTGTGGTACAGAGCTCTGCTCGTCTAATTGGGTCCCTCCCTGACTGCTCTGCATTGAGTGATGTGGGACTGAAATGTGCTGTTTTTTGCCAGAGCAGACTGGGTGCTTTCAGCTGTGCTGTGTTTGGTTTAGGCAGTCTTATGTGGGGTTTCTTCAGTGTCATCAGTGCATTGCTTTCAAAGGCAGGCCTTATTTTTGCATTAGGTTAAATATTTTGAGGTTTTTATTTGTGTGATTCCAGTACCAAGTAATTGGATTTAAATGGAATTGCTATGTGTTGATTTTTATAATTGACCTCTGATAACCCCCCATGGAACTGACAGTGTTGAAGTGTTTTGGCCAGCTGACAGAGAGGTGCCTCCAGGCAAAGACTTCTGCCACACATCACATGAGAACATAAGAACTGGGCAAATGAGAAGAGGCCATTCACTTCCGGTGGGTACTTGTGGACTGATCCAAGGATCTCATCCAGCCGCTTCTTGAAAAAAGACATGCTACAGGCTCAAACAACATGGCTGGGTAGATTTCTCATCTAGGTGCCAGCCACCTGTCTTCACTTCGAAGAGCTCCTCCACAGGTTTCCTCTCGTGTCCCCTGTTCGTTCTGAAGAGATCAGCTGGGTGGACTCTGTCAGTGCCTTTGAGGTTTGGGATGTTTGTATCAGGTCCCCCAGCGATCGGCGCTGCTCAAGACTGAAAAGGTTCAGTGCCTTCTGCCTCTTGGTGAAGACATGCCCCTACGCACTAGACTATATCTGGTTGCTCGTCTCTGGACTGATTCCAGAGCAGCAGTATCTTTTCTATAATGTGCTGATCAAAATTGCACACAGTGTTCTAAATGAGGCCACAGTCGTGTGCTTTCAACTATACGTATCTAAATGGTTTATCTGCCTTTTTATTGCTTCCCACCATTGTCTAGAAAATACAAAAGATGTAAACATAAGATGTCAATATGGGTACCTTCAGCACCCCCTTGCCTGCTGCCGCCCCACTCTGCTCCTGGGGTGAGAGTCGTCTCTGAGACCCCCTGCTGCTCCTCGGAAGAAGCGCAGCCTCATTCCTGCCCTCTGGCTGTTCTTTTATTGCTCTCTTCCCGGGTGGAAGGAAACCCTGGTGGATGTGGTGGGGGTTTTCTGCTCACCATAATAATGAAATCAATCAAAGCAACAGGGGCCAGGAGACATACAGCAGCAAGGACTGGAAGCAAACGGATAAGCAGCAGCAATTAAATTTAAAAAAATAAATATTTACCTCATATTAAACCAGCCGAGGTGCACCAGCTTCACAGACACTGTCATTGCAGAACAGCAGTGAGCACAAGGAACACAATCGGCAGCTGGAACTGTAACAAACGCCGGAGAAAAACATGTTTTCATTGTGTAGTTCACACGGTCTTTCAGGAACAATCGGTCAGTTTTTGGGCAGGATGCAGCAGACTGGAAGAATGAAGGAGGCTCAAAGGTCTTTCCCCTCTTCCAGAGGGTTATTTTGTCTCAGGTTCGGGAATTTATAAGGGATTTTAAAGGTGCAGACCCAAGTTGCCATAGGCCTGAAAATAGAGAAGTTAAAGTAACATTTTTCACCCACAGAGGTTTTTGAAAACCTGCAGGTCATACTGGGGGAGAAAGCTTTGAAAGCTGATGTGTGAGGGATATGTACCATTGTATTTATACATGTATGCGATTGCAGTAGCACATTGAGAATAGCTCCAGCTGGAAACAGACTTGTATTGCTGTATGTTATATATAGTCCGAATTGTAAATATCATTTCTTAAGCCTTTTTTCTGAGTTTGTTGGAATGTTAAGCCTGTTCCCCTTGTGGGTGGTTTCTGTAGCCTCAGGTAGACACGTTCGCTGCAGCAGAAGGGCAGTATGGGGAGCTGACTGACTGCTGTCCCTTGGCCTGGGCAGCGTCTCCCCAGGCCCTGGCCCTGCCCGGCGGCTACAGAGGGCTCCCGAGTTATTGACGTGCTCAGCTGAGGCAGGATGCCCTGGCCCTGTTCTGTCACGTGTGTGTGTAACATGTGGGGAAACATCACATTCCACATGCAGCTCACGGCCCCCTGACTAGAGGCGAGCTAATGGTGCCCAAAGCCTCCTCAGCCAGACGAAACGCTCTCTGATCGCAGACCTCTACAGGGTGTTCACAGGAGGTGCTAACGATCTCAGGATTGCCTCATTAGGTGTTTTGTCTTTCACTGGCTGAGGGCTGACTTCACCTGGTCGTGTCATCTGCCAGTAAATCCAGTGGAGCTCGTGTCTCTGAAGCGGGGCCCCAGTGCCATGCGCTCTTTAAGTGCCACTCCTCCCAGCAGGCACGATAGCTCGTCTGGCCACGGACTGAAATGCTTTGCACTGAAATGACCAAGAGTGCTGTATTGAAGCTGTGCACATGGGGCCTTACATCTGGGGAATTCAAACAGCAGTTGATTTTGATATTTAATAACAGTAAATTGCATCTACCTGTATACAGCATTCTACAGGGTCCCAAGTCTTGAAAGGTTGCAGGGAGCTTGCAGCAGCCTTTTTTTTTTTTTATATTTTTATTGCAACAGTATAATTTTTATATACTGCAGTATAAAACATTAGACACTTGTATATTTTGATTATACTACGCTATGACAGGCTAGTTCTGGTGGGAATTGGGATCACATTAATATCTCAAGTTTATAGGTACGGATAAGGTCGTCTCTATCCTGAGATGGAAGAAGCACTTAGAAAATGGATGGACGGTTATATATTGGTTATATATTATGTATAATATTTAATACAAATATTAAAGAACAAGTCAGAAGGAAGTGGCTGTTCTACAGGCTACATAAAAAGGGCCCCATATTCTGGGAACAGGAGGCACTTCCTGATGCAAAGGGTTATGGGTGTATAGAACGAGCTGCCCACCCATGACATGATACACTTTCCAGAAAGCTTTTGATAAAGCCCTTATTAAAGGTCTGATTCCCACAGTACTAATAATCCAAAGTAATGTGTGCACATGGCTGGAGAACTGAGAAACAGACAAGAAAAGGGAAACATGTAATCATGTTACATGAAACATGCTACCACACCAGTGGTAGGAACACACACCGTACGGATTACATGGGTGTTTCAGAGCTGCGGGAAGATACGCATAACAGGGAGCTGGGTGTCTGTGTAGATTCTTCAAAGAAGCAATAAAACAGCAAACAGGATTCTGGGGGATGCAAAACGTAAAATTGTGTGTAATTGTTACACGAAGACATCTGGAAATAAAATCTGCAATGGAATTTAAATCCAGGATTGTCCTTCATAAGAGCTCTTTTAAAATATTGTGTTCAGTTTTGAATGTAGATCACAGTGTTGATTGTGTTTGACCCTTAGAAATGGCTCAGGAAGAGCTACAAGAATGAGTCCGGGTCTCAAGGGATTGTGCTATGCAGACAGATTTTTCAGTCTAGAGCAAAGGAGATTGAGAGAAGGATTGATCCTCTCCACAGAGCCCCCATGGAAAGTGGTAGTTTCTCAAAACAGCCACCCTCACAGAGGCATGATGCTTCTTCAATGTGTGCCTCCAAATGCCCTGCACCTGTTGTGCAAGAAATATTATCTACCTGTAAAGCATCTGAGGGGAGAGAACTGAATCCTGTAGTTGTGGGAGCACTGCATGTGCCACGTGGAGAAAGTAGGATAATTGTGACTTATTGTTTGTTTTTTTCTGGAGCTTGACTCAGTGGTTAGACACGGGGAGCATTTGTACAACATGTTGAATCTGCTGAAGTCTGAACCAGTAGATATAACGCAGTCGCTTATTCAAGGGAAGTCGGGCATCCATCCTCTTCGGCAGGCGGCGTGTGTTGTGTTGGCGTCAGTCTCACGGCGGCTGTTTCCCCTCTCTCTTTCAGAGGACGGACCCCCAGCTCCTGGCTCAGTTCTACTACGCCGATGAGGAGCTCAACCAGGTGGCCACGGAGCTGGACAGTCTGGACGGCAGGAAGGACCCACAGAGGTGCACCTTGCTCGTCAACCAGTTCCGGTCCTGCCAGGTAAGAGCAGAGACAGGGTACCTGGAACTTGAACTTTATTGCCATATGTAGCCAGTACATGTACTGGTACGATGGAATTCTTACTTACAGAAAGTCTCTCGATTGTTAAAACAAGTGTAAAAACACAAAGTGCAAACAGTGCATCAAGACAATGTACACACAAACAGTGGACAATGTACAAGTAAACAAGTAGACAGTTTGAATGTAAACAATACAGACGTGTAAACAATGACTGGAGACGTACAATAAATAAATTACAATGAGGTAGATGGTGATGGTGTAGGTGTGGTCCGAGGGGGATGGCTAAATGTGTTCGCCAGTCTCACTGCTTGTGGATAGAAGCTATTGAGGAATCTAGTGGTCAGTGTCCGTATGCTCTTATATCTCTTGCCTGAGGGCAGTGGGGTGAAGAGGACTCTTCATTTCCTCTGTGTAAGTCCTGAACTTGGAGGAAGGGAAAGTTCGTTGTGTGACCTGAAAAAAAAGAGCAAGACACTGTCTCAGGGACTGTTCGGAGACCTGTGTTCCTCTGTGCTGTTCGCATCATTCCTGTTTGGTGGTGACTAGGTGCTCTGCCTGTGGAAGGACGCAGTGGCCACTATGTGGAAGAATATTTAAAAGTTTTCTTTACTGGAAGAATTACAAGAAATGTAATAAGCTACCCAGACACCCAGTACCCCCGCTTCTTCCAGGAAATGGCAGGATGAGAAACTTGTTGCCCTTTTGATAGTCAGATGGGTCTCCTCTTGTTTGTCACTAGTCTCAGGTTGTAGATGGCTAGCACAGGGGTGTCATGGAGTTCCATGTGGCAGGCTCGTAGTCTTACTGACACTTGTCCTTAAATGTTTTTCACTCCTCATTAGCCATCAGCTGGACTTACCTGGCAAGAGGTCTGGCTTTTTTTTGGCTGAGGGGGGAGGGCTAAAGTATTGTCACTGCTGCCTCTCCAAAGGGTGGGACCATGCAGCTTTTATCTGTCTGATTTTTTCTCATCCAATTTGGAAGTGCCAAGTGTCTGTACCTCACGGCGATGACCCCTGTCCCTGCATGGGAAGGCTGAGGAGGTGCAGAGTGACTGCAGTGACCCCTCCCACCCAGACATGTCCAGGACATCACAGTGAGCCTCGGCCCTGCGACCTCACATGAGAGCCCTGGGTGGCCAGTCCCAGTCCTTCCTCCTGCTGAGCCAGTGGCACTGCACCATCTGAGCCGTCCTGCTCCCAGTCAGTAAATGAGGGAGCCCAGGTTCATACCCACACAGCAGGCACCTTTCCGGTTGAGCCACTCAGGAGCAGCCCCACACCGCATGAAATACGGCACGTCAGTGGTGGCCTGGTTGTGTTTGCTCACGTCACATGGTGTTAGCCTGCAAAACGTAAAATTGTGTGTAATTGTTACACGAAGACGTCTGGAAATAAAACCTGCAATGGTGACCTAGCAAGAGCAATGGCAACCTGCAAGCTCATTAAAAAAACAGTGCTTGTTAGAAAAGACAGCTGCCTCTTATTTGCCTCATTACGGCTAGAGAGCTGGGCGGTTCAGGCAGTGTTCCCCCTGGGTTTAAGGCCCAGACACCTTTGTGTCTGGCAGATTGTCTAGTAAGAGCTGAGCATCCGATTAACAATCCCAAACAAGTGCTGTGAATAGTTTTTTATACTTTTCCGTTCACCCCTTCCAGTTATTCTGTGTCTCATCCTTCCTGGTGAAGCACTCAGACCTTGGAAGGAAAAGGGATTATTTCCGGTACATGACCACCCTTCATCTTTCAGTGGAAGGGAATGTGTTGAAAATGCACTCCTGTGTGCCTGTGTCTGCTCTTCCTTGTTGCTAGGGTCCTCTTCACCATCTTTTGAAATACCGATCAAGCTGACAGAGCGAGAATCTCGGCAGTCCCACCTCTGACAGTACAATTTGGTTCTTTCACAAGGCAGGGATTTCCAACCCCAGAAGCACTGCTTACACATTGGCTTTCAGAACTTCCTCCTGCAGCCCTGGACAAAATGTGAGGTGCATCTTTCAAGACCATCGTTTGATATCTCCTCTCAACCTACCCTCTTGAGGGTTTTTAACACAGTTACTCACTGATTTACAGGAAAATCCCAAACATAATCCAGCCTAAAACAAACATGTGATGTTGAAATATTGATGGAAAAGAAAAGAAAATGCTGTATGAAATGCCTTGGGCTTTCATTAGGTCCATTGTGTAGTAGGGTGCAGTGTTGTGCCATTAAATGATTACAGGTGATTACAGTAACCTTCTGTGAGATACCTGTGAGATATCTCTCAAATGAGTCCTGTCCTTCTTTCACGGCTAGAAGGAATGAATGAACTGCTCTCTTCACTTCTTTTCACAGAATTTGTCTTAAGGCTTTATTTCTTCTCTGAGCCGCATGCATTCTCTTCTCGGGTGGCTGAGGGCTGGGTGCAGCTCACGGCTTGCTCAGGATTACCTGGAGCCTGCCGGTGCCTCTCGATGTGTGCGCCTGAGTTTATCTGTCCTTGCCCGGATTAGCCTTCCAGGTTCCTTCTCCTGCTTTCCCACCCTGCAGCACCCGTCAAGGATGCAGTAGCTGGAGGACACAGCTCACAAACGCACTGAGAGAGAAGCTCACCCTGGGATTCAGGGCGCTGATCCCTTTAAATAAGGCATCCGTTCTCCATTCATCTGGATCACTGCAGGAAACGAACAAAAGCAGGGGGTTTTGACTGTGTTTTAGTTGATTTTATTAAATATGGCCATTGATATCTGTGTTTTCAGTTCAGAAAAGCCAGTTTCTGCTCCTGTTGGATTGAAAAAACAACAATAATAATAATATCCTGTCAAAGCACTTTACAGGTAATGGGGACTCCCCTACACCACCACTAATGTGCAGCACCACCTGGATTATGTGACTCACAGTATACTCGCCATACACCAGCTATCAGTGGGGAGGGAGGAGAGCAGAGTGATGAAGCCAATTCACAGATGGGGATTATTAGGAGGTCAGGATTGGTAAAGGCCAGAAGTTTGACCAGGACACCAGGGTAACACAAGACCTAACATCAAGAATAGCCCTGGGATTTTTAATGACCACAGAGACTCAGGAATTTGGTTTTACTCATCACCTGAAGGACGGCGCTTTTACCATTTAGTGTCCCCTTCATTATACTGAGTCGTAAGAAACCCCCAGAGACCCCACAGTGAGGGCCGACTACCAGTCCTACTAACACCTCTTCAGCAGCAACCTTATCTTGCCAGATAAGGAGACTCGGGAGATCTCCCATCCAGGTACTGGCCAGGCTCACACCTGTTTAGTTTCAGTGGGTGGCCAGTGCCTAACACTAACTCTAAGCTTAACTTCCAATATGACTATTTCTTCTTCCATTTGTCCTCCAAATTAGCCGATTGATGGGATCTGTCTTAGAACTCTTTCTGACTGTGGGGTTTAGGGCAGGACTGCAAATGATTCACACAAGCACGGTCTTCTCAAAATGCACAAATCTGCAGTGAGTGTCGGTCCTAATGCAGTGCTTCCTAGGTCTAGCCCTTGGAAAGCACACCCCCTCTTCATGCTTCCGAGCAGTGTTTCGAGGGAGAGACATGCATGTGCAAAGCTGGAAGGATTTCAATGAAAAGACACAAGAGCGCGCGAGAGGCTGAGCACCTGCTGACAGGGTCGTTTTATGTGGGATAGCACAGGGTTCCTGTTCATAGAGATGAAAGAGATACTCCTTCTCGCGGCTAACATGATAACAGCGGCATTGTGGGATTATTTGTGGCGTTAGGAAGGTAATTAAAAGACGGCGGTGTTTGAAGACCTGCCTGGGCCTAGGCAGCTGTCACCAGGAGCCATTTAATAAGGTCAAGTCCTGGCCTCCTGCCTGCTCCTCAAAGACCATCCCTGAGACTGGAAGAGAGAACAAAGCGATTACCCTGCTCCCATCGCTTTCAGTCTTCCTCTTACTCCCTGTCTCCCGTCTCTGTCAGCGCTGCTGTCCTTTCTCTTCTGCCTCGGGAGTATGTATTTCTTCTTAGTTCGTTCTCACTTTAACACACTTTGCTGCAGCCAGCATCAGGCACCTTTCCTGAGCATTTGAGACAATCCGCGGTGTGTACCCACTTGCTAATAGAGAGAATAGATCCACTCGGGTGACACACAGACATCTGAGTCTCTGTTTGTGTTCTCCCAACCTTCCTTCATCTCCTGTCCCATCTCTGCTTGCTAAATTAATCTAGAACCCGTCTTTATCGTCTGCTTGTCCCTTGTGTTTACAATATATTGCATGAAATCTGGAAAAAAAACAATGAAACGGCAATGGAACACAGTTTTACTCTAAAATCATTAATTATGCACTACTAATCAGATTGTAATCAGATAACAAGAAACGAATAATAGGAGAATCCCAGGAGAACAGAAACTTTAAAACCATGTGTTTTTGAGACACAATGTTTGTTCAGAGAAAGCTCTCCATGGTATTCAGATAGGGAACTTTAAGTCAGTTGGGAGCTTAACTATGAGCTCAGCTTTCTGTTTATTGTATTATTCTTCCCATTAATTTTGATAGCTCAATGAACTCCACTAAACTGAGTGTCTCCAGGTGTATCTGTGTGCCAGGCTGTTCTTATATCACTGCCTGTCTGATGTCCATGCCCCCTGCGGCATCACAACTTGTAGAAAATGTCTACTGTGGTGCTGCTTACTGCCAGTTATAGTCATTGTTAATTTCACTTTATAGGCCATCCACTGTCCCCTTGGAATGAATTCCTTAAACTTTTAACATGGTGTTTTTCTGTTCCCGTTATGCTCTACATTCACATACTGACACAGGGCCAGAACTGAAAATACATTGATCTTCATTATCTCTAAGAAGATTTGGAGATAATCTGAAAGGGGAACTATACAGCCTGGCTTGGTGAAGTGAACGTACATCTCTTCTGCAGTGAGTAGCTGTGAGGTGTCTTTTTAGCAGTGACGCTGTTTATCTAGCCCAGTCCTGGGTTGCTTTCGGGACACGTCTGC